ACTTATATATGTGTCTATAGGTGATTAATAGGTTAAACACTTGGCCAATAAGTTAGCCATATATTTCATATATTGATAACTTGTATTATAAGCTAAATATGTGGCATACATATATGAAACTTGCCTTAGAAGATAAGATACATGTCTTACAAATTGGACATATATAAGAAGTCTTATAGAACATTGTTATGTAGCTTCTAGTTAAATAATATATACAGAGGCAAGAGTGAAGCCTTCTTTATTCTTATCAATGCCATTCTAGTCTTTAGTCTTGTTTTAAGACTTTCTAATCTTCTTCTTATTGGCAATAGCTATTCTAGTTTAATATTATACCATCTTTGAAAGTAAAATAAGAGTGTATTGATCATTTAGTTCTTTGAGATTCATGTCTTTGATAGTAAAACATGCGCATGAGGTAAGATATTAAATTAAAGACTATTATTATAAAATTATAAATCTTAAATAAATTAATGTAAATTCTTTTAAAACAATTATATAAAATACTTATATAAAGTATAATAAATAATAATATTTTATTAAAAAAAAATTCTGCAAATAATATAGGCTATAAATAAAATTTGAAACTTTTAAAGAAATTAAATTGAAATATAGGTGAATGAAAAGATAAAAGATTAATATCTAATCATGTATTTTTTTTCTTTTTTCTTTTTTCTTTTGTCTCAAAAAGATGAAATTATCCACATGTCAAGTATATCTTAATATTTTAACATAATAAAATTTCTATAACATATACATATATATATATATATATAAATTACTATTAAAATTAAAATTTGATTGATTTTTTTTTTATGGATATTAGGCATAATTAAAAAAATGTGAATAAGCCTACAAACAAGGACATGAAAAAGAATATTAAAATATTTATAATTACATTTCTTATTTTTTTAAAGACTATATAGATTGGACTATTTATGTATAAAATATTTTATCCATAAGACATATTTAATATTATATATATAGTTTATTCAATTTATAAATAGATATTTTAGAATATTTTTACAAATTTAAACTAAAAGAATTATATTCTAAATTAAAAAATTAAGCATATGATTTTAAAATAAATTAAAATAAATAAATAAAATTATTTAAATATATATATATATATATATATATATATATATATATGAAGATATTGACAAAAAATTTAGTACCATCTTAAATTTTATAAAGAAATAAAACATTGATTTTTGTAAATAGGTGATGTTAAATTTGATAGAGTTAAGAACATTAAGAATTCTAAATAAGTAAGGCTTTTTTGTGCAAAATACATAATAATTATAAACTTTTTCATATTTCTTTATGTTGTTACTAGACTAAAAATGATGTAAGACATCTTTTATTGTATCACATGTAATCTTATACTATAGATGAACAGTCTAAAATATAATATAAATACCACAAAAAGAAAACATGTGTTTGCTACATAAATATAAATATAATTTTTTACCAAAAAATATTAAGTTTAATATAGCTTTTATATATGTATATATACTTATTAACAAAAATCCATGTTATTGGGCATTGCAATCTTTGAGTGGATTTTTCTCCTATCACTTAAATTTGATTTAATTAGATTATAACTTACATGAGAGCCCAATATTAATTAATGTGGAGATACAAATCATCTATAATATAGGAAAACCAAAATGAGATAATAATCAAGATTAATCTAACAATTCAAGAAGTTAGTTACAATTTTTTATGATTTAATTTTTAGCATTTGTAGTTCATTTAGTTAAGTGCCTTCCAAGATTTATTCTATCAAACTTAAATTATGGAAATTATGAATTAGAATACAATAAAATAAAAACAATGAATACCATACTAGAGTGTTAGTTTAGGATTATCTAAGGTAGTATTAACCATGTTAATTGGAGTTCTATGTTAGAAGTTATCTACAAATGAAGTTTTTATGACAAAACTTCATCTAGAATTAGAAATTCAGTAATAAACAACCTTAAATATTTAAGTTTAGGACTAACATGATGTTAAAATTTTTTTAAGATAAAAGATGAAAGTTGGAAGATTAAAAAATTAAAATTAAAAAAAATTAAATTAAAATTTAAGTTAGAATTAATAATTAAAATTTTAGTGAAAGTTTAAAAGTAACAAAAATAAAAGATTAAGGTTAAAAATAAAAGTTTAAAGTTGAAGGTTAAAAATAAAAGTTAAAAATTTAATGTTAAAAGTAAAATTTAAAAGTTTAAGGTTAAAAGAAATAAGAAAAAATTAAAAGATCACATTAATTTTTTATTTTTATTTTTATTTTATCCTTAAGAGTAAAAATGGATGGAAAGATAAGAATTTAAGATTAATTTTCAAGTGAGATAAAAGTTCTTTGAAATTATTAAATAATATTAATTAATGATAATAAGATGAATGAATGATAATATAGCAATTTAGGTGCTAAGAGATGTGATTAGAGGATGATTAGGGAAGAAAAACTTACTTAGAGTATATCAAGTTGAGGGTACCAGATCCCTTGTCATTCAAAAATTTGCTAAGAATTCTACATAGCTCCTATGTACTTGAAAATTTTGTGGTTGAGATTGACTTAGAGTTGCTCCTATCTACCAAATTTCATAGTGATCCGAGGTTTGACATCTCAGATGTGTGTTTTCAAAGCAAGGTGACTTGAGCTGCCTAGGCAACAGACCCCCTTCTACTTAAAAATTCACTAAAAATCAGTTAATAGTTTAAAATTGACAAGTATAATTTTTCCGAAAACTCCACTTTGTAAAGTTCTTTTTTAAACAAATTCTAGCAAAAAATTATAAGTAAATACTAAGATACAATTTTCCAAAGTTGGTTGTTCAACATTACTGAGGTAACAGATCCCTTCACATTTAAAAATTCATTAAAAATTTGATATAGATCAAAAATTAGTAATTTAAGTTTTTTAGTAAACTAAAATTTAGAGTGCATTCATTTCAACAATCCACATCAAAGTTGAGTCAGAAGTCCCCGAGTTATAGATTTTTTAAGCCGATGCTCCTACACTTCCAAGGCAATAGACCCCTCCCACCTTGAAAACTCGCCAAAAATTCGTCATAACTTCAAATTAGGCCTGCCTTATGCCGTTACAAAGCTAAGAGTGAGTAGAATTTGCTTATAAAGTTTCACAGAAAGAAAATAAAAAGAGATAAACTGAGCGAGTTAAAACTAAGGCCATTCAAGTTTAAAGAAGAAGATTTGCATTCACAAGATGGGGGAATATTTTGCCATGGCTTCGCACAAGAAGATAGAGAGAGAGAGCTCAGTCACCCAAGCCCTCTTAACTAGGTGGAAGGAGGCCCAAAAGTGGTGGACACATCTCCACCATCAAAATCAGAAAATTCCTAACCAAGATCAAGGGTCATCAATAACTCTCAGCCCAACTTCAATTTCAAGGCTGGAAATGCCTAGAACTCAAAAACTAACACCTTTTTGGTGAAACTAACACCATCAATGTCTCTAAAACATATTTTTACCCTAAGATCAGCTATTCATAAGTCCAAATCTGAGTTCTAAATCATAAGAATCAATTAATTTGCTAATTTAGTTGTAAATTTCAACTACAATTCTAATTCTAATTAGGCTACTTGGAAATTAGCAAGGGTTCTTGCCATCAAAGCCTTCATAATCACCATTCTTCAATTTAAACTCCCTTAAGCATGAGCTCTTGGCAAATCTAAAACCTAATTGCAAATTGGCCTTGAATTTGTGAGTTTTTCCAATTTTTTCCTTTTTTTCAACTTCAAGTAGTGATTAAAATCACTTTGAGAGGAAACTCCACCAAAAATTTAGCTTGTCTCCATCTTTTTAAGATCATCATTAATTTAACAATTAGACTTTATATTTTTAATCCAATTAAATTAAAAAATAAATTTTATGCTTAAAAATCTCAAAATTAATTAAGAAGATAGAGCAATTAGGTTTAAGGGACTTTCTAACCATAGTCAAATTAGAAATTAGCTTTTGGATTGAAAATTAAGATTGTGGATTAATTTAAGATATAATTTCTAAGAATTAGAAGAGAAATTCTACTAAAATTGTAGTTTTATTACTAAAAAAAGATTTAAAGTAATTCAAGAAAAAGAAATCATAGACCTTCTAAATTTACTATTTTTTCTTTTGAGTTTTAAAATAGTCAATCAATCTACTAATTAGAAGTATCCATCTAATTAATAACCTAAAGATATGATCAAAGTCATAATTAACTAAAAAACTAATTTGGATCTATTAATCAATTATATTAGCATTAAAATTAGTAAAAATATCTTAAAAATTACAAAAAGAATTATAACTAATCATTGGAGCTTTTAATCATGCTCACACAATCCTTGGCACATTCACATATTCTCTTGTTCACCCATGCTCCTTTGTTCCCATGTTTTTTGGTTCCTATGTTTCTTGTTCCTTTCTTCATGTCCAATCAAAAGACTTCTTCGTCTCTTTGTGTTATATCCAAATTGTTTGATAAGTTTATTATATATACAAAATATTACTTGAACAAGAAAAAGAAAACCCAATGTCAAATTTTGGAGTAGTTGAAGAAGCTTAGTGACTTCAAACTTTTTTTAAAAAAAATAAAACTCTGTAATCAGGATAATATTTTTAAGATTACTAAATTTAGTTGTTTCGTCTTCTACAGACTGAGCAGTTTCATGCACATTTTTTTTTATTCAAGAAATACAAATTATTATCCAGAAAACAATCCAGTCAGGAAAAAGGATTGCAGGTGAATATGACTGAAGCCACAGAGAAAATATATATATATATATATATATATATTTATTTTGGAATCACTGCAGAATGATAGTCATCACTTGCCAACTCAGCAACTGGTCTCACAAGGGGAGGGTGACACGGCACTGCTCGGAGGACTGAAAAAGCAAAGAGCAGAGAAAAGAGCAGAGACAAAGACCAGAGTGTGTTGTGTGGATACAGGGATCAATTAATCCACCAAGCTGGCCCATACATAGACGAGACGGGGAAGAGAGGGAAAGGCGTTGAGCTAGCAAGTAAACCGGGCCCTTGTAATGAAAGCAATGAGCAGCAAGCAAAGTGAGTGAGTGGGGGGAGTGAGGGAGTGAGGGAGGGAGGCAAGACAGCCTCTATCTAGTCTTCTTCTTCTTCTTCATCTGCCCACCGTTTGTTGTCATCATCGCCCTTGCTGTGTGTGTGTGTGTGTGATACGATACGATACGCACTGACTGCCCTTGTTGGCAGGACGACAGACAGCATATGTTTGCTTCAGCTCCTCCCTCGCAAACCCTACGAATGCGCTGCTCTCGCTTGCCATAATTGCTCACAGCCTTACTTCTGTTGCTGTTACCCTGTAGAGCGTATCTTAGCCCGTGATGGGAAGGTCGATCCCAATAATGCTTGGCGACGCAGTGTCATGCTCCCAATTGTCCTAAGTAGGTGCGTGCATGTGCGCCTGGAATCGTCGATTGACAATGGTTGGAAGCCTTTGGACGGTTTTGCGTGTGAAGTTTTCTGGCGTGTTGTGTTCGTGAAATTGAGTTTATTGAAATAGTTGATCGAGGGTGGAGGGTGGTGGATAATGTGATCGAGGTGATAATTTGTGCTTCCAGGTTCGAGAGTGGCTGTCGTTGTTGTGGCATTGATCGCGAAGCGGAAGCTCCGTTTGCTTTAAGGTTGTGAGAATACGTGAAGCGCTGAAACGATGGCTGTTTTTTGCGTTTTGTGCTGGCATTCTTCATTGACGTTGTCTGCAAGTTAGAGTTTGGGGGAACCTGCTACACTTCTTTTATTACTTACTGTAATACGGACCTCGTGAACCTTCTGCAGTTCTCTAAGATGAGCTGAACTGCGCTACCTGCTGCCTCTGTGGCAGTAAATGATGCCTTCTTCTGTACGTTTACCCTTCATGGCTGATTCTGGGAAGAGATGCAGTTCTGTACCTTTTTTGAAACTCGTTTCCCTTTGAAGTTGCAGTTCGAACGAATTTTAGTACCTAGCTTAAGGTTCTATACCTCTGTTTCTTTAAAGAACAGGTGGAAGCTGCTGTAACGGAGAGAATGGCATACTCTGCTGTAGCTCACCCGGGAAGTGATTATATTGGAGAGAACGGTTTCCGGCCCCCGGATGGACACTCTGATGCTGGCAATGGGGAGCTCCGAAAAAGCCTCGAGTCAGTGGACATTGCCTCGAACGTTGATAGTCCTAATCAGGTTCACATTCTTCCAGCTCGGCTTTCACTTAGAGCAGTCGCGCATCACAGCTTCGATTTGAAGTAACAGTTGTGTTCTCTCCGTGAAAGTGCTTTATTCTTGGAGTGGGTGCATGCGAATTTAGTTCGCAACTCTACAGCTGGCAATAGGAAATGCTTGTTCATCTCTCTCTCTCTCCTTCTTTGATTTAGGAGATTGTGCGTGCTGTGATATTTTTTCAGGTCAAAGAACTTGTGGACATCATAGAGGCAGCAGAGGTCACAATTCGCACTCAGGTCTGTTAGCCACAACCTCACTCGTTTACTCGGGAAAAATTCATAAGCACTCTGACTGTAGATTTATGTCGTGATCTCTATTAACTACGCTGTAAGTGAAGTTTTTATGAGCATATGACGAGCCTGTAGAGTAACGTGTCATTTTGCTCTAGATTGGTGGCATAAACTGGCTGCTCTGTTGTGCATTTGGTGTCTTCAAAAGAAAAATAATAATGTAGTGGTATAGGTGGTTCCATGTTTCTGTTGACAATCATTGTAATGGAATTCTTTAGGTGGAAGAAACCGAACAGTTGAGGAATGCTTTGCGAGCAGCTGAGTTGGAGCTCCAGTCCTGCGTGAGTCTCATGTTTGTTTGTCTTTGTTTTGTTTATATTATGCTTTTTTGGCATCCCCTTCTGTCCGTTTATATTGTCTCTTTCTCTTTTATTTATTTATTTATTTATTTTTTTTCTCTGAAAGATGGGGCGCCACGATTTATGCAAGGGAATCTGAACATTCTTGGGATTGTGGCATGGAATGGAAATTGCTTGACGCAAGATTATCTCCCTGTAAGGATTATGGATCATTTTGTTGTGGCTTTCAGAAAATCGGTAACCCAAAGCAAGTTGGACAAGGGGGCTACAGCTCACAACAATCTTCCCATGGACGAAATAGAAATTATCAGGGAGAGTTTGCGTTGACGCAGCTATCCGATTACACAAACGGAACAGCAGAGCGCAATAGGCACAGCAACGGCAACCTTCACGAAGGAATGAAAAATGGCGTAAACCATAACCGATATAATGGAACATCTGCTACTGACGACGGGCGCCCCTTCTCTCCTCTTTCGTACGACTTTCGTCCAAACGCTTTGAAGTGTGTATTGTGCTTGGAATTTATGTATGATAATGTGTGCGTCCCTATTTATCTCTTATGTTTTGTTTTAAAAATTATCATTATTGTCAAACTCTACAGACGAAGGAAAGATTCCGAGGCAAACTTCCTACGAGATGCGTATCAGGGGCTTGGATCTCCAACTGAATTACAAGACTCCAGCAATCATAATGGCTATCCCCGTTCACAGGTGACCATTTTGGGAGAGTTCTTGAAGGAAATATTGCCTACACTAGTGCCTTCAAAGAGCACATCTGTTTCTTACCTAGTTTAGTGTAATCTTTAATATCATACATATTAAGTAAGAAATTAATGCTTATCTCTGATTAATAATGGAGATCTTGTTAAGTTTCAAGGTTGCCACACTACTTGCATGATGTCTAAAGTAAGAGTGTGATACATTTCAGTATTGCGAATTCTATAGTAAGATAAGGCTGAAAGTTTGTGATTAGACTGAAATGGTTTCAGTTAACTCCTTGGGGGCTTTGTGTCAAACACACAGGATATGATGGTGAGACCGTCGGAGGAGGAATTGAATCCATATTTCTTAAAAAGTCGACTCATGGAAGCCTCAGTGAAGGTTCTCTCGTGTTTAAGGACTTTTTCTCTATTATCGTCTATGATTTTGTTACAAAGTCTTGTTTTCCAAGCTCGAGTGTGTTTGCTGAATTGTTGCATTATCTTATAGGCTTGCTCCTCAAACTAAAGTAGCTTACGTGTTTTGCTCTCATCAGTCTTGCCGAGTTTCAGAAACGTGATTAGTAAATCTACAACTCAAATGCTGAGTTATCGATTGAACAATGATGACGCGAGCTGTTCATTTGTAAGATAACTAATGTTCCAAAGAGCCAAAACCACTCATCATCATTGTCAATGAAGAACAAATTAGATTTTACATCTTGACACATAAATGTACCTGGTATCAGTCGAGTTGCAAGTCATGAGTTTGTATCCCACATTAGGAACTAGTGAGACTAAAATCGCTTCATGGGTTGACTCATTGGTATCGCTAGCAGGAGTCTCAACTTGTTAGCGAAAAGAGGATACTTGAGCGGCGAGTTGCAGAGCTACGTCTTGTAGTATTTTAATTACCCTCCCCCCCCCCCCCCCCCCACCCACTTTGTATTTTTACTTTATCGTTATAATTTTATTCTTCTGTTTTTCATGTACCTGCTAATATGCAGCATCATGTCTCGCAGGCTTATGATCAGCAGCAACTGGGGCTGGTCGATGCAGCCTCGAAGGCCTTGTCGTATCGGCAGAATGTTCTTGAAGAGAACATACGACTGACTTACTCACTTCAGGTTTCATTCTCTTTGCGTTATTATATAGTCCTTTCTTTCGGGATAGTAACTTCTGGTTTTCTGAGTTGCATTACTGTAAAATATACTGGTTTTCTAGCGATAGCAGGCCATATATGAATGTCAATGTTGATGCTCCAGGTGGCAGAGCAGGAGAGGACTACTTATGTGCAAAACTTGATGCCTCTTTTGGCTGAGTTCGACTTGCAACCTCCGGTTTCAGATGCACATTCGATGGTTAGCCATATCAAGGTTTGTGTAGTATTGTTAGTTTCATTGCTCTTTTGTGCCTACATCTTGAATGTTTTACTCCAATGAGCTGCGACAAGAAGTTAGCTTCTGTGTGGCTGCATTTTTCACTATTATGTAGTTGCATTGTTCTCGATGCATTGCCTCTGAATTTCTGTTAACATTTAAAAACTGCATTACAGGTTCTCGTGCAGAAGTTACGGTCAGAATTGGAGCTTTACGAGGTACTTGCACAGATTCTGCCAAGCCTTTCACTCTTACCCTCTCATGCACATCTGGTGTATGTGTATGGTGCTTCTTTCTGGACCTAATCTTATTTTCTGTGTTTTTTTGTGTGGAATGTGGGTTTGTAATGTAGAATAAAATGAAAAATCCACAGTTTTACCCTCAGCCATATCAATCTTCTTATCCGACAAACCAATCATACAATCATCCTCCTCAGTCTCCTACGTTTCTTCAGGTATTTCAATGAAATTTCGCGTGTTGGTAGATTTTTTTCGCCTCATACTGGCTACTCAGTTGTGGTTGTGGTTTTTGTGTTTGACTTGTTTCTGTTAGTAGATTTTGATGTCCAAGTTATGTGCTCATGTGTATTTCTGGACATCGCAGTGATCTCTACGTGTATTGTTGAGTCGAGATAGTCAGAGAAATTATTTGGCATTTGTTTCATGGACTTGGATGATGCAGTGCTGTTAGAAAATAGACGTTACTGTGGTGTGGATGCTAAAATCGTAAGATGGTTAAATGGTTAATCAGAGTCATAATTTAGAGATTGTGCCGTCGTACTCTCAAAGACCAACATCTCCAGTGCAACAGCTGCGACCAGGAAGACCTGGTTGGGACTCTGGTGTTTCTTCCCCTCGGTATGGTGGATCACGAGATCAGGATGGACACCTTGGTGGCCCCAACGAGCAGGAGTAAGTCTTCTGAATACTTTACCCACAACTTGTCCTCTATTTTACGTACTTTCATCGCGGTTAGCATGTCATATTTTTCTTTGCCTTCGGCAATTCTGGTTGTCAATCCTTTCGAATTGTTATGATGATGATGGTGAGCGTACACCCGTTTATGTGGCTTACGGGGTTGCAAACAGGCTTTCGGCAGATGCGAGTGCCATTGTGCCTCATGACTCAGTCAGCGCCAGGCCCAATGATGGCCTCGATGACTTGGAGGGCGACGATGTTTTGTACAACGGAGCAAACATGCGAGGGGATCCGTCGCTGTGTAGATCAGATGTTGCTCGTATAAATTCACCGCAACTGCCTTCCTTGCCTGAAGAGCCCAATTCTCCTAGCTGTGAAGGTATATGGTATTTCTTTAGCTTTCAGCAAACCTCAACTACTAGCTTGTTTGTATTTGGGACTTATTAGAAACTTTATACCCTTGGTTGGAAGAATTATTGACAGTAGAGTGCTGTATTATCTACCAGTGAACAACAATAAATAACCTCTCGTTCTCTTAAAAGGTAATTAATATAGTGGTGTAGTAGTATGTAATTGGAGTGACTTCTACAACTTGAGAGTTTGTGTGCACAGATATTGACCCACTTCCAGGCATCGTTGGCCTTCGCATAGTTGGAGATGCTGTCCTAGGTGGTCGGCTCACCGCATGTGGCCACTCTATCAATGGCACATCCCTTTGTATCTTTCAGGTAATCTAAATTCTTCTGGTTGCTAGTGTAGGCCTTAACATTATACCGTTTTGAGTAACAAAGTACTATCTGAAAGTCATATTTGTGATCTGTTGTTGTTCTGTGGAGTAACGGAAACCAGCAATAAGGCAGACGTTCTTATTGATGACTCTTGTAAGGGGTGGGGAGAGAGAGAGATAGTACAGCAACTAACCAAGAATAATGCTTGAAATTATCGGGAACCGTACTTTTCCTTACATAATATATCACAGGGCAAACGTGAGAATTTTAGAACTTATTTTTTTAAAAGTCTAATAAATTTTACTTTTGAAAGTAAAAGACTGGAAGAGGACGGCTCTGTTTAGTAGAGCTGATATGCTGTAAATGAGTCATGAAGTGGTTTCTTATTTGCATACCTGGATATGTAGCAACGAAGGTTTTCAGTCCAAAGGGTACTAGGTCTCATCGAAGCATGCTCTTTTAGCAAGATAATTTCAAACACCCTGATTTAAGGAATCAGAAAACCAGTAAAGTTTTCAATACATATGAAAACCTATTTCGTTGTTACTCACAAGTGTGTTCCACACTCCCACGATGTAAGATTCATCTTTTTGCTTTGTTTTAGTGTCGATCATTACTTGTAAGCGGGGTTACTATGTTAAATCTTTGAGATTCAACTGTAGGATGGCTTGTCCAAAACTTTGCATGAAGCTTCTTCTAATTGGCAGTTTCTTGCTTTGTTGGTGTTCTGATGGTCATGCAGTGGGTTCGGCATTATCAAGATGGAGCTGCTGTCATGATCGAAGGTACGGATTCGACCTACAGTCTTTACAGCACCCATGCTGTTTTCATCTAATGCTGTGCTTGCAGTGACATGGCTGTAATTCCAATATGACCACACGCTAAGTTACCTCTATTTTGGAAAATCACGCGCTGAATTTCGTTGGTTCGTTTGTCTAGAAGCAGGTTTAGCACCCTTGAATTCTACACTAGTTCTATCTGTTCATGGCACTTCCTTCTTTGAAGTAGTGTCTTGTATATTGTGGACACGTTAGTTACCATTTCATTCATATCAACTCATTTTTGTTTTGACCACAGAGGCAGCACAACCAGAGTATACCATTACTGCCGATGATTGTGATAGTATGGTAGCCATCGAATGTGTTCCCATGGATGAGTGTGGTCGCAGGGTAAGAAGAATTCTTTTATATTGAATATACGGCTCGACAAATTTCTCGTTTTCTAGTCTAATTTACTTTTAAATTTACATTCTAATTTCAGGAAAGACTTTAGAACCTGAGTTATTTGATCTGATTCTTACCGTGAATTGGCCATTCATAGGGCGATTTGGTAACAGTGATGGCAAACGACGGCAACGCAATTAGTCGAGGTAAGTTCATGTGCACATTTTTTGAGGTTACTGATATTTCATTAAAGCGTTCGGTTTCTGAATTTTTCTAAGCCTTGCAATAATTTCTCCCAGCAAGCAGATAGCTTGAAAGTATACCCCAGAATTGATGGCAGTTTTTCTTATTTTTGCAGATCCGATGATGCAGGATCAAATTGACACCTACATGACGAACGGTCATGCTTCGTTCGACGTGAATATGCTGGTAAGTACTCTATCAAGTTCTGGCGTTTCTCCTGCAACGAATAGGACTATAGAGAAGACCTGTTCTTATCCGATTTGGCAATTGTTCACATTTGTTGTAATCCAGTTGGTACAGTACCAGTTTTATTTGTGAATCGTTCTTGGTCTTAGACTGCATTTCGTAACCTTGCCTTTTTTCACAGTTACAGGACGGGACATCTGAAAACGTTTCAGAGCCGGCAACACTAGTTTTAAGACGCTCAAATTTTGAATTGCGGCGGATTAGTAGCCGTAAAGTAACTATCAATGAAAAATACGTTCCTGATGTTCTTGTATGTCTTTCTGTACTTCTCATTGATCTATTCTCTTGAATTTCGTCATTTCTCATATCGACTCATTTTCAAACCAAACACATTAAGAGTCATCAAGGAGTTTTTGTCTGGAAAAGTTCTGTTTCTTCGAATAAGAATGGGTGCAGCTAAACCACCTTTTTCGAAATGCAGATTAAAATACCCTGTGGAGAGCTACTTCAATGTGTTATCTGCAGAGAGGATGGTGGCAGAGACAACTACCTGGAGTTGCGTGATCCTCGGTGAGTCTGATTGTGCGAAATTCTAGTAACATGTTGACAGCATTTGTATGTTGAACCTTGAGAAAGGCTTTAAGACAACTCGAAAGAATTGTACAACTTTCTACGTCTATTCGATAATTCTGTCTTTTACACAGTTGCAGCGTTTAGGAAAATGTGTACGAACATTGACTTGTGGTCTTTAGCTATGTAGTTATTTTTTCTTTACTTAGATATTATGAAGAACAGTTTACGCAGCAACGGGTTCTTGCTAGGCTTAATTGGGAACTTTTGGCTGATTTTACAGGACGCGGGATATGGCAGTGCTAACTTTTCGAGCTTTTCACAAGGCCGTGAGTAACTCGTTACATTGGTTTTTGTAATGTCAAAATTCAGTTCACCACCACATATATATATATATATATATATATATATATATCTATGGTGAAGGTGTATTGATAGACAACCCATGCAATTCGTAGATGCCAGTGACATTTTATCTTCGGTGTTATCGCAGGCCATGGATGAGAAGAAGTCCAGACGCAAGTGGCTTAGACATTAAACTTTGGCGTTTTGAGCTAGCTTGTCTCTGTAGAGCGTCTCGTATGATGTATACTAGGGACATTTTATGTTGAGGAACACTGTAAACATGTCTATTCTATCGATATAGGAGATTTCTGAGGGAAGCTTTTTTATATTCTCTTTCCGACTTCGACTTGCCGAATGCCAGCTATCAAACGTTCGGGCCCTGGAGAGTCTAAAGTGCTCCACTTCTTCGCTCACATTTTCGAATCTTGATTTAGTTTGTGCATGTAATTGGCTGCACAACTGGTTTATAGCTAATTTAAGCATGATTATATATACTGGTCGTCTAGGATGGTTGGCAGACGTTCTTCGTATTCCTTTCCCTTCATGAAGTTCCCAGATTTGATACCGTTTAAATCTCATCGTTCCTAATGATGTTTTAAATGATTTACTCCAGTGAACGTAATTAGTGCTCATGGAGGCGATCGAATGCGTCTTCACATTTGTTCACTCGCTGGTTCGTGACTGCTAGCAGTTCGGCCCATGAATTTTGATGTATTGTATTGGTACATGCTTTTGGTAAGTTGGTTATTGGATCGTCTCTCAATAGTCGCGTCTTTTTGCACATTTGTTGAACTTGTCCTTTCAATTTTGCCTTCGCTGGATGCAGTGCTTCCAGTCTATTTTCAAGATTAGGGTAACAAATCCCTACGTGTCCCAGTGAAGGCAGAAGGATTGTTAGCTATCTCAGTGACTAGTTTGGCTTTAAATATGGTGAAGGCTCATTCCTACGCACAAAAGTGGCTGATGACTGAGGTGTGGAAGTAAACTAACGATCCATGACATGCTTCGCAATATCAGTTCCTAGTCATTTGTAGGATCATATGCTTGTAAGTGTTCATCTAGATTACCTCACTCAAGAATTAACTACCAAGATTGGTTTCGTGAATCATTTCATAACACTGATAATCTCACATTTCGTCACAATATGTACCGTTTATTTTCACACCCACATCATGAAGGATCAGTTTAAATTTAGATAACATTTAAATGACATTTAAAATTTTAACATTTTTTATATACCTTTTTGATAACTTGGTATATAACTAGACATATTTTAAGTGGAGTGTTTCGTGTGACTACAAATTCACAGAATTGATAATTGAAAATGTCATTTTGTTTTAAATGAGTTATACTTCACTTCAAACTTCTATTATTCTGCTTAGTACATAATTGTTTATTACGACTTTGTTTTCTTAGTTTTGGTTCTTATCCATGGATGCTCATGACGTGATTAATTTGAATGCGAAGTTTTTTCATTATGAAATTAATTCTACGTTCATGTGCTCTGATTCATGTTGACCATACAAAGTTGCAAATTCAGCTGATGAAATGAGTTTTGGTAAACCATTATTCTTAAATTTAAAACAAAATAATAGTTTGCAAGTATAAAGTGAAACTTATTGTATAGCATACCATGCTAATTGTGACTTGTGGGTTTTGAATAGGTCCAATTGTTTTGAACACATTTGATTATTTCAGATACTAATCTTAACATGTTTGATGTGTAGATATTCCCAATGGCATCTACAGTAGGAACTAGTTTTTTTGTGTCCAGAAGTATGAGTGTCAATCCAGATATCAGGTTTTATAAACTTAAAAAACGAATTAGATTAGAAGCATGTTCTATCATCATTAAGATACGCTTAATACTTCTCATAATGTGGTTATCTATAAACATGGCAATCTATGAATTATAGCTGTTACAATTGTTCATGACTTGACATTTTTGTGATCTAATGTAATTAATAATACTAATATAGTCAATTGATAATTTCACAATGATTGTGAGGTTACTTCTGATGTTACAGGATTAAGAAAGAAGACCGTATTGTTGGTGTTTTGAATAACTATGGTGAAGGAAAGTTGTATAAAGACCATGAATTTCGAAAGTTCTTAAGAATGCAAGACAAGACAGTCATGCCATCCCTAAACAATTAATTGACTGAATCATTTTTAAAGTAAGATATTTACTCTTACATTATTGTTGAACATTATATTACTTTCATTTATTTATTTAATTTTTTTAGATGTTGCTCGTACCTTTTTAAACATGCTTTCACAACCATAATATATGTGAATTGCCTCATATTTACTTCAGTAACAAAGCACCAACAATACTGTCTTCTTTCTTAATTGTAACAAGTTATAACATGTTACAAGTTTTAAGGTTTGTTTGAGATAATTTAATAAAATGGTGAGAAACCAACGTTAGCACTTGTTATGATATAACTCCAAAACAAATGAAAGGGACATTAGCTCAAACCTTATTATTGATTTTTAATATTGTGATTATTATCATGTTTTTAGTTAAAAGATATAAAAATCAGTTTGGAGAAACTAAAATTTCCCTTGCAGAACCGATATCAGCAAGAAACCTGAAAATAATCAAGATGTTGATCAAGCACCATGCTCATAAGTTGTGGTTTGAAACCAACTATTTTTGTTTAATATCGTTTAGTCCCTGAACAAGTTTAAAATCATTTGGTCTCTCATAAAACTTTTTTGCTAATTTTTACTTATTTAGTTAAGTAACCAATCAACACTTAAAGCCTTAGAAATGTGGCTATGATTGTGTACAAAGGATTATGTTATCATGTTGTCATTGAAGATATAGTGATACATTAATAATTGGTTTTTTTTGCAAATGGTAACAAACATATAATCAAATTTACCAAAAATAAAAATCACCATTTTTTTCATGTGGTGAATTCTAAAATAATAAATTAAGAGGCTAAATAAATAATTTATAAATCTAAATAGCTTAGAATTTGAGGTATTTTTATTATCTATTTTTTCTATGAATTATTAACATAACTTATTTTTAAAATTCAACATTTTTAATATGATTTAAATCCTTAAGTATCCAATATTTAAAAAATAGCTTAAACTTTATGGTCATGTAGAATGATTCTTATATTATTTTAAAATCTTACATTGAATGTCACAAATGAGAAAAACTAAAATTTAGAAAAAAATTCTATTCATGAATATTTTTGTGCGGAATAATTTAAAAGAAAATTTTAATATGATAATTATATTAATTATATAAATACTCATGTATATGGTATAATAATATCCTAAAAACCAATAAAATTTTAATGTAATTTGATGCTCAAGCATTTAAAAATAACATGCATACTAAGTATTTAATGTCATCCAAAAATATTTATATATACATATATTAGAAGAATTTATGATGTAAATTGATGTGCTTACCAAAATAGGATTATTAGTATCACTATTATTATCATCATCTTTAGCATCCCTTATTTATAAATTAACAAAAAGTTATGATTTCAACATGCATGTTAGGGCATGGTCTTCTTTCTTTTAATATCTTTTAAAGATACAATAAAAACCATGAATTTTATTGCATATTAGTTCAAACATAATACAAAGTTTTTATTTTTTATTTTTTAAAAAAATAGAATGTTTTACATTAAATTTTATTTTTGCAATGATTATGTTTTTATATTCATAGGAGAACATTAAATAGACTTAGTTTTTTACTAAATCAACCAACCTATGCTAAAGAACATGGTAATCATGATGAATGTGGTTGATTTTTATTGGTTTTGGATCCAATGGTGGAGAAATGAAGCTAGAGGTAATTTTTTTTTCATGATGGTTAGAATGGGTGGATAAATTTAGTAAAATCTTGGATCTATTTAACACTCCCACAAATAGATATAGATATATATATATATATATATATATATATATAGAGTTGTTAAAGCCACATCCCACATTATCATCTCATGATTGATTCCATCCATCTCTCTTTTTGTCCCTTGTTCCATATCCCCCATCCCCCCTTTCCAACTCCTATGCCTTATTCCCTATCCCCAAAATCAATCACATGGTTTAGAGATGTGGCTTTAACAACTCTCTCTTTCTATATATATATATATATATACATATATATATATATATGTGTTCCAATTATACTACACTTTAGGTTGTTGCACTTCATGTTCTATAATACCCTTAAACAATTTATTTACTTATTTTCCTTATCCAAATCACTAAACCGTTCTACATCAAAGTTTATATATTGGAACACAATATTAAATCTATTATGTGATTTACCCACTTCTGTGTTTGAGTGACGGGATTAGGAAACTGTGGAGCAGAAGGAGAGGGCACTTTTAACCACGGCGGTCTCGTGTGACCGCGATTCATCCATGACCGTTTCTTGTAACCGTGGCTCACCCATAACCGTCCATTTTACAAAGCTCCGCATGCTCGCAGCTATCGCAGCCGCGCTCCGCTCCACCCTTCGAGCAATTCCAGTCTCGCATGGCTCTTCAAATTCTGTTAACAGGGTCGGGGATTGAGAGTTTTAATTTGATTGTGCTCCTCCGGCGAATCGTCGATTTGGGTCGCGGATTTTCCGAGCAAAGCCAGCGAGACCAACCCGTCGGCGTGGGTCTCACGCGGCATTGACACCAGTTTTCTTCTCAGCATCACCATGATGCTGAAGCAGTGTTGAAGGAGTAGGGTTTTCCCTTTTGTGGGTTCGAGGATTGAATGCCCAGTATGCAGATGACCGCAATTTCAACGTGGTGCGCTCTTGGATTGCGAACAGCCATGACGGGCGCCATGAAATCGGTGAGTTGTGATTGAGCTGGAACCTTTTTGGGATTTCCACATGGGTTGTGGGAGAGGAATGTTGTCACCTGTACTTTTGCTGCGAAGAGAATTTGAAGCTGAAGGTGTGATAGGAGGAGCATCTGTTGAATTTCGTGCAGTGCCCTGCTGCTGGAATTTCGTAGTGGTAGAGAATTCAGCTCGATTGGTAGTTTAGAACTAAGGCGGTGCGCAATTGTTTGTGTTCTTTCTCATGTGTTTTTTTTGCCCCAAAGAGTCAGCAATTTTGCATTTGAGTAATTTGAGTGGAGGATATGTTAATTGTAGATGCATCCACTTCGATTTACGCTTTGGATCTGTAGTTCTTATCTCTGTAGTTGGACTTTGATATGGGAACTCTGGAAAAAGTAACAGTGGACATCATTAGGTAATTCGAAGTTAGACATTTGAGTGTCGACTATATATACATATATATATATATATATATATATGCTAGGTTCCTGAATTTTCAAATATTTTACTGGATTCTTTTTTCTTTTTATTCTCTGACTACACTGCCGATGTAAATGATTTAGGGGAAAAAAAAAAAAAAAAAAAAAAAAAAAAACGCCGAATTTTAAATTACTCTTAAGATGGTGTTTCGGTATTTGAGTTTGTCAATCAAAGGTTCCTGAATGGATGTGTATTTTCGAAGTACTCATGTTTTTGCCTCGTGAAGACATGGTATTGAACCTTATACTTGGACCTTCAGTTTAACGGAATGTGTATGCTGATGTAGCAGGCTGTAGAAGGGGGTATCCATGTACACTCTAAAATTCTCTGCAGTCACCTAGTGCACGGTACTTTCCCTATCATTGACAATGTCTGACTGTTAGCAGCATATTTCAATGAAACTATTACCGAGCCACAGTCGTCAAAGAGTGCTGTTGATGCATTTCAAACTAAACTGCTGCTATGCCATCATCACACAGGAACTTTGATTTCAACCTTGAGCATGTGGAAGCCTAACCATTCCATTAGATGTCTCCAACTTCAAACAGGTGCCAGAAATAAATTGTCGCCCTGTCTGCTAAACAGCACTAGGTTCTGCAACTACGCTACTCTGGCTGCAACAGGTTCTGTCGCTGTTCCTCAAGAAATATCTTCTTCACTAAATTCCATCGTTCCCGACTCTCCTCCACCTTCTCAATCCGATCTGCAACGCTTGTATGATTTTGTGAACGACAGGTATCCCAATTTTCCTTTCAAAGCTGGGAAACGTTGTATTTCCTGCTACGAATTAGGAAAAAATCGTTATTCTATCACAATTTTCTGTAGATGGTTGACAATATCATGTTAACAGGCTCCTCAGTTGATGTTGGAGTTGTTTGTTTCTTTATTTTAACTAGAAAGGTGGTAATAGTGTTGGACGCTTTCTTTCATCTTACTGGGTGTCATCTTGAATGGAAGGACAGCAAAAGATTAGTTGTTATAACTGGGGCTGGCACAAGCACAGAGTGTGGTATTCCTGACTATCGAAGGTATTTCTTATGACCGGATCATTTATCTACCTGCTAAATTATCTTACGCTGCAGACTCTTCTGTTGACTGTAATTACAATTAGTGTGAGAGGAGTAAGGATTTTTTGGGTCAGAGGGAATTAGGACCTGAAGGTGTGATAATGTAGTAGCGATTTTCTTGACTTGCAATGGCGTTCAAATCTTTTCATTAGATTTTCCGAGACGGCTTTCGTTTCCTAAAGAGGCTACTTTCTTGAATTGTCTGTAATTACGTGATTGTTACGGAATTGTGCACGAGAGAATTCAGTCCACATGGAGCTTACAGTAGCGGGTTCAAGCCGATGACTCACCAGGTATTTGTCTTACCGTGTTTAGAAGTTCGCCAACCATACTTGCAGATTTTATGCAATTAAGTTCTTAACCTTTAGAAGTGTTAAGGCTTTTGATGTCGGTTGCAAGGAAGATCAAAATTTGTCCGGCAATTGTTCGAGTAGCAACCTTTTTGTTACTGTTGGTTCAAGTGCAAAACTGGAAAAGGAGGAAGTTGGTTCGTGTCATTGATGGTTCGTTTGGCAGGATTTCATAAGTTCAGAACAAAACCGCAGACGGTATTGGGCTCGTAGTTATGCTGGATGGAGGCGTTTCATTAGTGCGAACCCTGGACCCACATACCTCTCCCTCGCTCAGCTAGAGGCGAAAGGGCGTGTGAAAGGCATGATAACGCAGAACGTTGACAGGTATGCTGTACTCCTAAAAAGTAATTGATTTGCATTGGTTACCAGAGACATGTGTATTTGATATTTGTAGATGAATGGTTATGCGCTGTTCATTTTGAGGCTTTTGTTGGTAACCATGGTTTGTTTATATCATACATGCTGACAGAGTTCCTAGCGTTTCTGTGTTGCAGGTTACATTATAAAGCTGGCAGCAAACCGATTGAGCTTCATGGAACTACTCATGAAGTAATCTGTTTAGATTGTGGCGATATGTCTGACCGCTATCTCTTTCAAAACAGAGTGAAGAAGTTGAATCCTGAGGTCAATATAATTTTCAGTAAAATGGTCTTGTTTGATGCAGCATTATGTAGAATCACTTTTATATTCTCTCTTTGCCTGACATGTATTAAGTCTAGAGCAACTTGATCTGCGAAATCAGGTATGAGCTTGTCAATGAAGCACTAATATGAAATTATACTTGGTGTAATTCCTAGCGCAGTGGGCGAAGGCTGTAGAAGCTTTGGAATCAGGCCAACCAGGATCAGATGCTAGCTTTGGCATGCGGATCCGTCCTGACGGTGACTTGGACATTCATGAAAAGTTCTTTCGGAAGGGGAACTTCATCATTCCCGAGTGCAAGAAATGCAATGGCACTCTCAAACCCAATGTGAGTTTCTACTAATCTATTTGCTTCTCCCTTTAGCATATGGTGACTATGTTATCCTTGTCTCGTGTTCTAATTCTCCGTAAAGCATAAATGTTGGCTGCTAGAACTATTTTTTCATTCTTTGCAGTGTTGCTATTTAAGGAACAAACTGACGTTATTTGTGGTTAATGTAGGTTGTGTTTTTTGGTGACAATGTTCCAAAGCCACGAGTAGATCTTTGCATGTCGCTAGCACGCTCAGCTGATGCGTTGCTGGTGGTGGGTTCGTCTGTGATGACTATGTCAGCCTTGCGTCTGGTCAGGTAGGAATGTCTCTCTTCGTTGTCGTTCGTCAGATTCTCCTCGGAATGCCATCTGCTACTCAACTTTCAGTCATTTGATTTCCTATATTTTTTCATCCCCTCTTACCGCAGTGGTGTTCATGCACTAGGGCTGCTGCTGACATGGGCTCACCAATTGCGATTTTGAATATCGGTCCTACACGGGCTGATGACTTGGCTCACTTCAAAATAAATGCTCGCTCTGGAGAGGTGGGTGCTGAATCATTATCTTCATGATTTGAAATTAAGTGCCTTCGTCTTCTTTAAGCCTCAAGTGCTCACGCAATCAAACCTGGCTTTAACTTTTTTGAGGTGTAGTTTAAGCACCAAACAACGTATGAAAGTATTTTGTACTTTTCGTCACAAGTATTTTTTTTTTTTTCCCGATCTTATCCGGCTACTGTAAACCAAGATAGAGCTACTTTTTTATCACTTCAAAAAGATTGTTTCTGGGCTGTTATGATGCATTATAAAATATTTATTAAATATGTTCTTTGATTCTTGGATTAAAATTAAAGTTGTAAATATTAATTTGCATATTCCCTGCAGAATTTTTCTAGTAATTAAAATATTTGGATCTTATTGCATTATAGGTATTGCCCCGGCTCCTGAACATGGGTTCCATGAGTGTGCCTACTTCGTAATACTCGGCTGAATTTGTTCGACATTATTGGGGCGGTTATTTAAGTGGTGGATGAGCTCATGAAGGAGTGGCCAGACCTGAGGAAAGGAGACAAGGAACTCTATGACTGCAGGATTGTGTTGAGTTTTTCAGCTGGTTTTTTGCACATCTTATGAAACTTGAGCCTGGCTTTCAATTTCAAAGTTCCAATTGCACCTGTAATTTTCAGTAGCAAACTTAATTTCATACTCAGTTGTCACGCATGAGTGATATAGTCAGTTTGTCTTAATACATCTGCATACCACTGAGAATTTATGTGTTCTCCCTCAAGCTCGGGAGTAGAGTAGAAATGGGTCACACCTGCCCTGTTACGGTTAGTTAATGTAAAGCGAGTTAATGTGGCTTCTAAAGAAGCCAATCTTGGAAGCCCTCGTCAATCCTTTCCCTGTCAAAACCCCGATTTCGGCAGATTTTGATCCTATGTTCAAACAATCTGAACTTATGTTCTACTTTGAAAGTTATTCAATGAATATTTATTTATATATTTATTTATGTTATTGCATGTAAGCCTGAATTTATAAAACACAATGTGAAAAGTATTGCATCACCTATATATTTATGTAGTAGAAACAAGTATTACCAAACGGGTTGTACAGTTTTGCTTGTGGATATGCATACTTACCAGAATTAATAATCTTATAGATTAGTTTAGTCAAATTCATTAAATCTTTAATTGAACATTTTGATTAATATCCTTGGTATGTCATTGCTTATTAAATTCTCTAATAAGTTTTGTAAAAATATATGTATATCCTATTTTTAATTGATTCAAATGTTTACTTATAAATTGGGAATAGCATTGTTTGTTTTTTCAAGCCACAAATGTGTTTCAATACATAAAGTCTTACAAAAAAAAATAAAACCCTAATACCTTCGAGTTTCAAAGTACATGCTCTAGTATTGATCTACAAATAAATACCATCTAATGTAATATTATCCACAAAAGAAGAAAAAGTAGAAAATATAATAATTTTGTTTCTAACTTATTGTTCAACAATTTCCTCTAAACTCAGGGATAGCAAGGAGTAGGAAGGGATAGAACCCTCTTCCATGTAAGAGTTTGTATATTTCAACAAAAGAGCATGTATTAGAGAAGCTAGTCTACATGGTACAAAGAAGGATATGTACCTTTGAATGTCTCAAGTTCAATTTTAATTGGTGGCATTGGCATTTCAATTTTTGACATATCCAATTAAGAATTTGGAGATTGTTTCTTATGAGCTTTTTTCATCATTGACTTAACTTCCTTATGTGAAACATCTCTCACCCTTAACTTTCATTTTTTCTTATACTAGGCTCTCAAATTAAGCAAGCAAGTATAATAGTTTTTGTCTTACCAAAACTATTCATTTGAATAACCATTGATTTCAAACTAATTTCAAATATTTATCTTTTGAAGTGCCTAGTCTCAAGATTCATTCTCAATTGCCAAATCCTAATAGTTTGAGTGTTTTGTATGTATGTAAAGAATCAAGGCAGTAGTCTTAAAAGAATGATTCTCATTTTATATATATATATATATATATATTTTGTAAATGCATACATAAGATAGCATAGACAATCCAATAGCCAACCTCCACATTTAGAAGCTATTACACTTGTAATAAATTAGCATTATATGGTCTTGTTGGTAGTTTGTTAGAATCTGAGAAATACTAGTATTAAAATTATTTTATAAAAATTGGACCTTTGAGATTGGATTTTAAATAGATAAGACTTTTTTAGATATTAAAAAAATAAGAAAATTCGTTCTTTTCTTTACAAACAATTGTAATTTCTATTGTAATATTTTTAAGTTATAAATATCTTAGCCATTGTTGGATAAGCACTCTTTATAGCATTAACATATCCACTCAAAATTTTCACCTCCTAAATCATAAATAAACAAAGTGGATATAAGACTATTAATCATAAAATCTACATACTTTGTTACATTCCTATCAAACTTTTTGTATGTTTTGTAAGTTGTAACCAAGCCAAATCACATCATCATAATTTCGGAATTCACCAGCAATACATCAACTACATTTCAAAGTTGTTTTTTTTTATTCTTTGAAAACTTAACAATTTCTTACAGCATTCAACAGTTTCTTACACCCTAAATACTCTTTCATGTAAGGGTGTGTAAAAGGCACTTATAGAAGTGATGCCCTAGTGGCATCTACTATTACCGCTGGTGTTTATGAGAGGGGCTGGAATCACCTCACCTGCCTTTCTAAGAGTGTTCAGGTAGTGATTTTTGCATTGCAACTTCTGCTCCATCATAAATTCTCTCTCCACTGTAAGGCATATACAGAGTGCAGGTCAGTTGTGAACCTTCAATAGACTGATTAGCTGTTAATTAGTTCCAGCCTTAATTGCAACATAAAGCACCGTAAACTTTTGTTATACAAGCAATTGGGTACATCTATTTCAGAAGTGAAGTTTAGGAGCATTCAATCTGGAGCATTCACCCCAATTCTGGGGTGTTCAGTCACACTCAGAAAAATCCGATGTAGTTTTTGATATATAATTAGGATCTTGCATGCTCAGTGTTCATTGTATGATCACACTTGCTTTGAACAAGTCACCATAATATGACAACTATGGGTAAAATGAATTAGGCAACTATACTCACAGGCTAGGCCAGAGCCACCCAAGTAGCTAATGCAAGCTTTGAAGCTAAAGCTGCAATGATATTCTCTATGAGACTACAAGAAGTGTCGGAACAAAATCGTGCTCTATGGTAGAGCGGCTCGAGAAGAAAGGGGAAAAAATGCGAAGAGAAAGGTGTGAATTTATCTGGGTTTAATCACTCAACGTCTCGGTCTTCCGGCAAAGGTCTGTCAAGAGATCTAGGCAGGAAAGGCTCGAAAGTGGTGAAATAGGTGATCAAAGAGACAACAGCCAGGGAGAAGAACACGAGCTGATTACCTGCATTGTAATTCACAGCCTATCATCACCATTTGGGCTTCCTTAATTTGGAAAAACATGTTGCAGCAGCAAGCATCCGTGGCAACAAGGCTATTCACATGGCAGTACACTGCTTTTCAACGAATTCAAAACTTTCATGAGAGTGTGAGAGCGTACCTGGCAGAATATAAGTATCTTGCCGGCTCTGCGCCCATGCAAAACTGCGAACACCCAGAAAATCAATACGTAATCCTTGATAAGTGTGTTTTTTTTCTTTTTTTCTTTTTTTGTGGAGTAAATTACATTTAAGCTTCTGGAACTTGAGACAATGAAACGTCCATCATGCTGACTAACAGCATGCTACTTAAGAATGTATCATAATTGCTGTTAGCATCACTGGAAATTTACACGAAAAGCTGTAGCACTATCTTAGAGGCAATGGCTGTTTTAAAAGACCAGGTTCTACATTACGTCAAGAACTATCAATTCTTTCAGAGGTGCTCCAGGAAGAGATTGGATATAATTCTTACATGCTGCCACCTCCAGCTGGCCCTACAGCTTTAAAAAGGGACACCAAGCTCATTGCAAGCCCATTTGCTGCTCCTCTTTGATCTTGTCTCTGTGAAACGATGGTCCAGTATTGAGTAAACATGCACTTGACATTGTGTACTTCATTCTGGTTAGGGTTTGCACTCCACCTATCTACCAGCAGACTACAGAAAAAGTCATAGAGTATGACAAACACGAATACACCCTAAACAGAATCAACTCGTTTGCATACTTACCACTGAATTGTTTACCAATATGAAAGAGCCTGTGAATATCAATATCTGCATTACAGAATCCATTTAGAAGTTGTTGTATCGAGGGAGAAAGAAAACATGAAAAATCTCTTCAAAAAACAGAATTAAGCTTTACTTCAGGGACAAGGTGATGGCGCACTCCGGCGTCAGTACTAGGAATCAAATTAAGGAGCTAAGTTTAAGTAAGAGCAATGCTCAAAATTCTAACATCCAGCCATACCATCACTTTGATATAAATCCAAACATCCAGGCTGAAAAGAATATTTAAAAGTATGAAATCCTCACCCCAAGAATGTTCTTGACAATCGACAAGAGATTAAGAACGATAAAGAGCGACGTTCCTTTGAGCATCGTCATTAATGGGAAAGCAGCCATTGAAAGAGTTGTAAATCCCTGTACACGACGTGATATAAAGGTTAATGGTAAACTATAATCACTGACATTCAAACAAAATACAAATCAATATCAGAAATATCAAAAGTAACACAGGTTATAAGCCAAAAGTCAACACATTCTACAGCGAATCCAGCTGAAATGGAATGAATTTTGTGATAACTATTTCGTCGGTACTTAAACCAACTAACATACCGCGCCAGATCGGGATACAAGTACAGCTCCCATCCAATTAACCAAAGGAGCGAAGAACAAAATTTGGAACACCAACATCGTAAATCCTGAGGTTCACCACTCGATTCAATCAAACAGGTAAGATTCTTTTCTTACAAATAAGAGTGACCATTTACGAATTAAGGAAGTCATAACGCTTCTCTAACAGAGCTCCAAGGTTACTCAAAATAATTTAAACGTATGATCCCTAATTAGGTTTTTGAACTTTCAAAAGATGTACCTGATATCGCGAGTATTTGACCAACAACGGTAGTTGATAATCCCAGACCTCCATCGGCCAAAGGACTCACACACCACAACGAAAAAATCTGCACACATCCAATATTGCAACATCATTCTCCGCCATTGAGTAGTTACTACAAAACCCACAACAAGGAACAACTAAAGATTGGTATTTCATAATAAAGGTTCTAAACATCTCGACATATGAGAAGAAAACAAGCTTCCTACCTCACTGCTTACTCTAGTTTAGAAGTGCAAAGGGAATTCAAACCTCACTGAAGGCCATGTCGTGCAAGGACCAGATGCAGTATAGAGCAATGGAGGCCATGAGAGGCTTGCTTGTCCACAAGGATTTCTTCTTCTTCGTTGAATCACGCAAATTTGTTTCTGCCCCTGGTATTTTCTCCTCTGCAGCGTCCGTGGAATTTATTTGAAGTACTGGACCACAACCAGCTTGCATCATAAGATGCTGTGAAAAGGTAAATGAAGCTGTAGAAGCACTGTTTCATCTCAAGGCAATCAGACTACAAAACAACAAACTAGACTTGCATCGTCACCTTGGGCATCCTTCGGGGTGTCCGTTCCCAGTAAAGCTCTGTAACCATCGTTGTCATTCATGTCTTCCTCGTTTTGGCTTAGACTTCGCAGTGAGCTACTCCTGGTTTGAACCTGATCGCTATTTTGCGGTCCTTTTTCAGAATGTTGATTCCATGCATCTTCAAATTTGGGTTCATGTAGACTTCCGAGGGGAGAATGCACGGATGGGCTCTCGATGCTCTCACACACCGTGTATTTTCTGCTTCCTGCCCGCGACAGATTGTTTGGAATGGGAAGAGACAAAGGCTTTTCGTACTTCGAATCTTCAGCCTGCTCAACTTCTTTGACATCATGTTTGTGAATTGTCTCCTGAAAGCAGAAACCTCTCGACGTCAGGATATTCAAAGTGTACAATTTTCTGCGAAAGAATGGACAGCTGAGGTTATAAAATTCGACCAGATTAAAGAACTTTGACAAAAGGAAATTGGGTGATATCTTATGCAAGCACAAGGAAAAACTTGTAGCACAACTACGAAATACTCCAGTGCATCGAACCTAAAATTCTCTTCAAATACCGAAACAATGGACGCTTACAGGAAGATAGAACGTGATGCAGAGAGTTGGAATTGAAATCACTGTGACGCATAGAGACGGTAACAAGTACGCATATCTGTTTCCACAAATAAAATAAGATTAAAACAAAAAACAGGAACTATACACTTAGTGTCTGAGCATTTTCGCGAGGAATCCGAGCAGTAACTCATGGAGGAAAAATACGAAAAAAAAAAAAACAAAAAACAAAACAAAACAAAAACAAATAACACCAGCATGACAAGGAGTACATGAACTGCTTCATTTGCTGCATCCATCAAAACTAAAACCAGTTCAGAATGAAAATAAGAGACGAATAGTGAAGGGTTGGGAGTGAGCCACACCGATCAAATAGTGAACCAGGTGGAAACAAATTTGGATACTTGATTGCTGGCTGCAAACCATGCGACACATTGTCAAGAAGATCTACCATTTTGTCAAGCCAAACATAACTCCGTCTACAATCAGAGCAAAGCTGTACAACATTTCATTAAAACAATGCTCTATCACATCAGGTGGTGATGTTTCCGAACGTGATCTTGCGAATTACCTGAGACAAGTAGCCGCCCATGGCCGGACCAATAATCAGTCCAAGACCCCAGACGGTGCCCACCTACGAAATTGAAAGCCAACACTTGGAGTATCATGTACCAAGCATAACAACACACGATCGAATGCAGTAGAAGCAACGTATTGATTTTGAAGATTAGAATTTTATCATGGTGAGTAGTTCCTATGAGCAGGAAATACAAAAATAATAACAGTGGCGCTCGCGTAAGAAGGAAATGCGTACAATGGACACACTAATAGCTTGGTGCTTTTCACTGCAAACCTCCGATGCATAGGCCTGCCAGGCAACAAAGAAATATGAGTTTGTGTAAGAAATCCCAAAGAGCTACAATGTTCCGGAAGTATTTGGTCAGCCAGTACCTCCAAATCTTAACGTGAATAATCCCTCCTCATTACATGAAATTGAATTGATCATTCTCAATAGTTCCCACCTTGATGGTACCAAGCATGCCGTTTAAGCCACCCAGAAAAAATCTCGCAAGTACTGCCATCCAGAAGTTTGTGCTTGCTCCGAATAATGTATGAAACACTATGCTGCAGAAACAAAAACTCACTCAGTGAGTAGTGAAACGTTGTACAAGTTTCAACTATAAAAGCACGTGTGGATATGGAAAACAATACATTAAAACTATTAAAAAAAAAAAAAAAAAAAAAAAAAAAACATTGGAGTATGAATGGATAACGACGCAAAAGGTCAGTTACGGACACAGTAATGCAGCCAATTATCATGACAGGCACCCGCCCGTATTTGTCAGCCACCATCCCCCATTGGACAGAGGTTAAAAACCGCCCAACCATGAACGATGATCCTGCATAAATACAGATAAGTTCAACAACACCACGAGATAAATTCTACACTCAGACCAAAGCAATTTTTTATGGATGCATACGTTCAGTACATGTAGATAAAATTGCTTTGGAAAATTTATTCGTATGTGGAGGAAAGTCTTTTCCTAGACTTGTTGTCACAAATATATCTCATTGGGTTCCTACGCCATCTATGGGTGAGACATTACTTAGGTGAGAAAAGTGAGGAACCAATTCAGTGCTCGAGTGTTGAAACTAGCATCATGAAATAATAGCGGATAAAACACAGAAAAGCAGCTTTTTCTTGTAGTTGTGAAGTGGCACTCATACCAGAGTACAAGCACATCTGGCCTCCTGTCACTCTTCATAGTTTCGAAGTGACTCACCTACATATCCAGCGTAGAAGCCGATGTCTTTGTCAGATTTCGCAATGTTGAAATCCCGTACCTGCAAGGCAAAGGACATTCGAGCCCATCCTCACAAGTCGGAAAAAAATAGATATATAAGCAATACATGAGTGTGATAACAGAATTACATTAGCTCGCGATCTAAATTTCAATCAGACTGTGGTCTTGACCAGCATTTGCAAAGAGACCCAACTAGTCAAGAGCGAACGGTTGAATCGAATCTAGAGAAGACCCAGCTCACCATGAAATACAGAAACGGGTAGAGAGAAGAAATTGGTAGAGCTGCAAAGTAGCCAGAAACAAGCTCAATGTTAATGGACTGTTGAAATTACTGTGGGATGAAATGAGAGGGAACAGGCAAAGTCGGTCCCAAGGTTCTCTTCTATTCCTTGTACTTCTCGCTGCAACTTTCGATAGCTCTTTAAAAACAGCCCAGATAACCCGACATCACGAAAAACTTTCCAGAAGCAATGATCGATTCTCTAGACGAAAAAAAACATCTCATGAGCTATCCTCAAAGAAAGAAGCTCAGACAGATTTCAGATAAAAAATGCATCGCGACGGACAGAGAGCGCCATACCACTGACGAGCGTAAGCGCCGCTAAAGTTCCAAAGATCTTATAAGGAAGCTTGGCATCAGGATCTTGCAAGTAACTATGTTTGCAACCAGGACAATTCGGGTAGAGCAATGCTGGAGACTTCTTCTTCTTCTCCTCCTCCTCGAGAAGAGGCTGCTCCACATCCACTACATTCCTCTCCCCTGCCCCCATCTCCCTCGGCATTCCCGCACAGGCACCTCACCTACAAACAGGTGCCCGGTACAAAAACACGCAATTCCCTTCACGTATCCAATCTCCCCACCCTTGTTACAGAATGTTCCAATCGTTCCTACTAAAAAACCAAAAAGAATCAACTGAAGATAAGCTACTGTCTGGCACCGCTACGAAACAGGTCTACTCACAAATCCAGTTCAGTTTCTCAATATCTTCCCTGTTTTCTGTCCTGGAGGAGGAGGAGGAGGAAAGGTCGAGGGAATGGGGCTGGCTGCAGAAGAGATCACTCTCCTGAGAGCACTGTGACTGAGTGAGTTACCATCCGCGGTTATGACGAGTATGCGCATGGATGCAGGGAGGTAGTTGGGATGTTGAGAAACCAAGAGTCTGGCATTCAATGCTCCCATTCATCTAGAGAAACTTTGCAAGTTGTAATCCGGATGTACTCCACGACAGGATCATTCGTGGGTCCCTCCACAGCAATCGATCGTAAACCCGACGCCTGTTCTCTACCGATGTCACGAACATGTCAAGGCAAAAGCTCAGGCCCCACAGCACTTTGCGGCCGCCTCCCGAGGGGAGTGGGGGGAGTCTTAGGACTGAGCTACGAAACAAAACACGAAAACCACGCAAAACAAACAGGGTGGTGAGTCGTCTATACCCAGTTCTGCACTAAACCTTCTCTTAAATTTGATTGAATCACTAATCCTGTGTGGTACATCGCATCGGGCTGACATATGTCGTCATGTTTACAACTCTTGGATTCCAGAAGTGTCCTACCCATTCTATGCGTGGGTAGATTGTGGCACTTGTGGCAGGGATCATTTCTAAAAGCATCTCAAGTTTATTCGTTTCCAGGCAAGTGAAAAAGGATTCCTCTGAAAAGCTTCAGCCTTTTGCCATAAAAACAAATTTCTAAAAACAGCAACACTCGAGCTTACCGATTGAGAGTCACGATGCTAGTGCTACGGACCGCAGGTTTGAATCGGATGGTTCTCCACAATCCAGCTTTTGCCCCAGCAACGATGACACACATTATGCCAGTCTTCTCTTTCCACATGGGTGGCTTCCTTCGAACTATATATCGACACGCTATCACCGCGGTTGTGCTCTCTCCTTCCAGCTGGGCCCTCACTTATTCTGAACATGGGAACCGAGTTATGCTTGTCAAGCTAATTCTCGACACAAGAAAACGGTTATTTTAATCATCTGAAAAAGGTCTGCTGCAACGCCGAACGAGATGTGCCGCAACACTGTCGTTTAAACCGGTTAGTTCAATTCCTTGCTCTGCATATATGTTGTCCTCCCGATGCAGCAGCTACCGCAGCATTGATCAGGAAAACAACAGTCACAGATTGACAGTGTTAGGGTCCCTTTTTTGCCACTGACCTGGTCCTATGACCAAACCTAATCTTGCTAGGAAATCAGCTTGAGATGTGAATATATATATATATATATATATGTGTGTGTGTGTGTGTTGTGTGTGTCTTTTTAAAAGGTTGTTGGTGCTTATCCATAGTGCAGCACAAAAGAAACGCATGAATGATCATAACAGTGCATCTTGTTTTGTTGCAACGTGTACTTTGTTTTTAGTAGTTCTTTTTCGGTCACTGTAAAACATTGATAAACATTGTAAAATTTTGGGTTTATCTATTTTCAATAGTTTGATAAAGTTGATATATTTTAATATTTTTAGCAAACACTTATCAAATATGTTCGTATATATATACATATATATATATATATATATATATATATCGATTGAATTGACTATATAATAGATTGTGTTTTAATCTGTTATCTGAATACACAGTGGTAAAAAGTATTTGCTGGTTGATACAGGTTCTTCAAAATCAAAAGAGTGATATCATCCCTTCCTCTGCTTCTGCTTGCTCCACATTGTTGAGTGACAAATGAAGAATGAGAGGAAGATAATGCTTCTGGAAAAATTTATCATCTGCTTAAATTTAAAAAAAAAAAAAAAAAAAAAAAAAAAAATCCTGCACACATTGAGGATGTTGAATGTAACCTACATACAAAGGAGGATAGAGATATCAATCATGTGCCAGGTGCTTAGAAGCCAAGACATGGATAGTAGCTCCTCTGCCTCATAACAATCCAAGCCATAGCCCACCCCCCTTCAGTCAATTGCATGGATACTCCTCATGTCCACCCATTTTCCCTCACCTCCCACTTAACTGGGTGGACTCCTTTCATTCTCATTTTTATCACCATTTCCCTCACAATTTGTAGCAAATGCAGAACTGACATTGAGGAACTGCAGCCCTGGATGGCTTTGGTGCCACTGGTGGGGCATCAGCAGCACCCACAGAGAGAATGAAGAGCTAAAGAGGAATCAAAGGAGAGGAAAGTAAAGGGGAGAGAGAGAGAGCCTGCAAAACAGGTTGAAGACTTCCACAAGTAAGTCTTTGCTGATGCCTGCTGCTGATGCAGCTCTGCTCATGGGACAAGGGACACAGAATCATACATGGGCACCATGCAAGGCGTTTCATTTTGGTTGAAGGACCACTGCATTAATATATGACTTTGTTTTTATTGCAAACAGATATTTCTGAAAAAAAAAAAAAAACAAAACAAAACAAAACAAAATACATCTGACATACTTGAAAAAAAACAATAGAACAAAACATAAAACAGACAAGTCAGGTGCCACAGTATGGAAATCCCATAAATCTGCTCATTGACCACTGTAGTAGTAGTAGCTGGTAGTGTTTATTGTTATGGCCAAAATAATGAGCAGAAGCTCCACTACTAGGTGCAGAGAGACAAAGAGAATGGCAGTGAGAGCTTCAACCCCCCCTTTTTTTTCTTCTTTTTCTGTTCCTATCTCAGGTTCCTGACTGTTCTCTGGTTTCTGCTGCATCTGATTTTCTGTTGCTTTAAGAAGATTTCTGTGGAATCTGCAGGTTTCAGATACTGTAGGGAGAAGAAGGGAATCCCATAAATGGCTGCCTCTTTGCTATGCTTAGCCCATCTAGGGAACAGAATGGGAACAGAAGGGAACACAATGGCAGAATAATAGGGACATGAGGACGACTGAGGAGGGGGGGGATGGGTTTGTGTGTTTTTACTGTACTTTTTGAACAACTTTTTTTCCATTCTCTCCTTTCCCTTGTTCATAGCTTTTCCTCCCCACCATTTATGGATTGACAAGTTGACATGAGAAATACCACAATAAATGTTGTGATAATGAGCCCACAATCAATGCTTCATAAAGCCTTGCCAATAGCTCATGAGAAGTGTCTGACTTTGCCATTTTAGAGGAAGGATGAGGGAAGTTGGGAGGCAATGTGGGAAAGCTGAGAAAAACATTTAAGTTGGCAAGAGATTTATTAATAAAAGCATAAAGAACACAAACAAGGGGGGAACACTCCACCACCAGAGCAAGCTCTGAAATTTTGGTGTTTTATGTAGGAATGGATCCCATGTGAGTCCATATTAGTTTTCCATTGTTTGGTGGAGAGGATTTTGTGCAGATCCTACAAAACCTAAAAAGAATCAACTTCACCTAAAAGATCACCTCACACACAAAGAACCCATGGGCCTCATACAGACGCACTATATTCATTTGCATGCACTTATTGAAGTCAAGAAAATAAAGATTTGTGTGGTTAATTTGCAAACCTTGGAAAGTAAACAAAAAGAGAGCTTTTTCTTGTGGGTTTGGCATTACAGTAACACCCCTTCAGTTGAGCTAATATTTACTGTTCATCTCATCCAATGTAATGCCAAAAAAACATGTGGTGTGCTAGGGCCTCATATTATTTCCGTTTCATGCTCCATTGTACTAGGTGCTGATGTGGCAAATTTTGCTCTATCCCTATTGGGAGTCCACGTGTTCAAGATGAAAAAATAACAATACAGTCCTGAGTTGGCTCCTGCAGAGCCACGCACACGCGGGGAGATGCACACCACAGTAGCTCCACTTAGATGCCAGGTCACGTCTTATGTGGCACTGTATGGGTCGCCCAGCGCCCATCCATCCTTTGCCGGGTCTAAAGTTGTCTGGTCCACGTAAGCAGCTCTCTGCATGCTCACACGCAGCTAAAGTGCTGCGTGGTTCATGTCGTGGTGCTGACAAGGATAAAAAGTAGTCCGCACTGGAAAAAGGTGTACTCGTCTCGCACTAAAGTCAAACTTACTTTTGTGCGTTGGAGAGCACAGTTAATGGGATCACAATGGGCTCATGTATTTGTATTTTCATTATTGAATCTAAATATTGACTAGATAAATAGTTTGAAAATGTTGTCGAAACTAGCATAGCACGTCTGTAAAAGGTAAGTTGCACACAAAGCATTTGAAAAAGCCAATTCATAACAAAATAAATTGACACAATAATGAAATTCTCTGATGTAAATTACTGTTCTATGATTGTGTAAAGACTTCAAAGAACCATGGATTTATTTTTATTTTTTTCTAAAAAGACATGTTGGAAATGAACCATATGATGTGTCCCAATCAACTATATTTGAAAATACGAGCATGTAGTAATTTTATTGATGTTTTTTGTGTTGTTCTCTTTACAGGAAATTTTCTTACATTTTACATAAATTCAACTTTATTACAACAGGTATTATTATTTAGATACTAATTTATCAATATGATAAATAAATATATATGCATATTCAACCACATCGTGAGGGAATTTCTAAGCTTATTAGAGCCCACAACTTTTAAATCCTTTGATTGATCAAAATTGAGAAACCTCATGATTTCAAACAATAAATATATTATAAAGTTATGACCTCTCAATTTTTCTCTTATAAGTATAAAGATCCACAAGTTGTATTTTTAAAATATCAAAATAGACAAAACATTGCATCAAACAAGTCGATTGTACAAAAACCAATAAACACCCTCATCTTCTTTAAAATCAATTCGCATGATAATGATAAAGTTTGATTTTCATCCAATTATTATAAAAAAAAAAAAAATAAAAAAAAATAAACGATTCCACTAGAAAACACTCAATTAAAGCACACTACCCTCTCTTTTGCATATGATGTCATGTCAGTAATTAACTCTGGAGCATGAATGCTAAATGCTTTGTTCCTAAATTACTTTGAAGTTCCCACTGCACAAAAGATGCCCAATCATCGAGTATCATTTGCCACGCCAGCACATTGCTCGCTATATTTCGGGTCAGGCGAAGATGGAACGGGCAGGGTTGGACAAACCCGGTCGATAAATAGCCGGACCCGTGCCGCTCCGGGGACCAATGCTTTGCCGGAGCGCACCCTGCTTGTGGCGGTGGTCGATCAGCACGCATCTCAAGCGGGGTCGTAGCAAGCATGCTCACGCCGCAACTGTACACACGAGGTCGTGATTTCTTCATGTCGTGGGGCACTCATGTCGAGAGCGATGATCAAACCAGGCTAGCAAACCAACTAACTGCATTTTGACGTCAATGCACTCGGCGAAGGATGTCCAAATCTGATCCCCCCACCTTCATCCTCGCAGGATGCGCCATAAGCTCATTTTTATGGCGCTGCGGAGGAATCGTATCATTGTCCGTGATTTTCTAGCACGATCATTCCGTTCCCTCAATGCTCTCGTCCGTCCTCCGCAACCTCCACATCAGGAGAACGTGTGTGTACGTTTCGTGGGGTGTGGCATTCGTTGCCCTGGTGCCGTTGTGCTGGTCTGCCTGTTCAGGTTGTGCGAATTGGCTACCGCCGCTGTACTTCCGGAGCACATGTGGCTGAGGTTGTCTGTCTCTGTCAGTGTTGGCCGTGTTCTTCGGAGCATGCGCGAGTAGCGGTGGAGTGTCCTATTTTTCCATATTAGGAAAGTGGTACAAAACCTTGACTCAACGCCTACCGCTGGTGAAGGTTATCTCCACGAGCTTCGTAAACCTTGTGCGCATCATCTTGGTTATTTTAGAGCTCCTGCTGCAGCTTCGAAGTTAGCGTGGATCTGTATGCTCATGAATGTGTTATCGCTCACGTGAAGAAGACGTGCCAAATGTATTTTCAGAGTTGTAGCGGAATCTCTCCACAGTTCTTTTGTTTCTGTCTGTGCTTTGTGGTTTTACGGTGCTGGGCGGTTGAAATTGATGCGAAACCTGTATCCGACGCCTGTTTCAATCTGCTGTGCACCAGCGCATACACAATTTCATTCGGACCGTTGTTATTTATTTGTTTACTTATTGCATTGTTTGAGCTCTTTCAGTGTGGCGACAACGTCCGCCCAGTTCGAATGCATTGAAATAAACGTGGTATAATTTTCTCATCAAACAACCAATATAAGTAACTAGATACCTTGACGACAGTAGGGATTGGTGTAAGCGTCTCGTCTGCACTGGTAGAAATTTTCTTCCCAGCAAGTACAACGTCGATTCCCCCCCGTTTCCTGCTGTCTTTGAGAATGTGGTGCAAGTGATGAGAAGCCTAGATTCAACGCCTAAAATTGGTAAGATTATCAATCGAGCTTTTTGAATTTTATGCACTACAATTAACAACATGCCAATACTAACATTTCCGTTGAAATCTGATCCTCATGATGTCTACATTACTGTGACAATGCCAACAGACACTTAGTCTAGA